GACACTGGAAAATAAAACTGGCTGCTGTGCAACATAAGTGAGTTGCAGAATGGAGTAAGAAACTCTGAAATATTCATGAACGTCTACTCAAAAGGTTCTGTTTTTTTTGTTTTTTTTAATAATGAAATAAAGTATTTTCAGGTATTACCCAGAATTCATTGGTGAACACTAAACTGAATGGCTCTGCTAGTTTAGTTTCATAATTAGGATAAAGAAAAAAAGAAAATTCACCCATAATCTAATCTCTTTCAGCTAGTATGACCAATAGAAAGGAGACAGCAGAATAGGTAAAGCAAAAATGTTTTGTAGTTTCTCCTAAAAAGTGGGGGGCGGGGGGAGAGAATATGACGAATGTGTATAGATGACATATTTAGATACATTCTTAAAGAGCTAAATTGTTTGATGTTTTTTGTTTCACAAACTTTCATAATTCACCTTTCCAAATAGAGTGAATAGTGCTGTTAAAAATCTATAATAATAAAACCATAATATGCTAATTAGACCAGAAAGTCAAATGTCCTTCCAAACAAAGCCTCAGCACTGCAAGGGCTGAAGGCAGGCAGTGGCAGCAGCTGTGGGATGATGGGGGCAGTGCCTTCCCCTGATCGGCCAGGGTTGCCTCCTGCAGAGGGAGGCCAGACTGTGGCTTAGGTGCGCTCGCAGTGGGGAATGGGCCTAAGCTTTCAGTAGGACATCCCCTGAGGACTCCCAGACTGTGAGACAGGGCAGGCCAGGCTGAGGGAACCCCCACCCAGTGCACAAATTTTTGTGCACCAGGCCTCTAGTACCATTATATGACTGTTAGGAGATTTGACTTGTGGTGGTGAGCACAATACAATATACAGATAATGTATTATAGAATTGTACACCTGAAACCTTTATAATTTTATTCAACAATGCCACCCCCAATAAATTCAATAAAAAAGTTTTTAAAGAAGTACTAATTGGTAGTTACAAAATAGTCATGGGGCCCTGGCTGGTTTGGCTCAGGGAATTGGCCTATGGACTAAAGGGTCCCAGGTTCAATTCCGGTCAAGGGCATATGCACAGGTTGCAAGCTTGATCCCCACTGTGGGGTGTGCAGACGGCAACCAATCAATGATTCTCTCTCATCATTGATGTTTCTCTCTCCCTCTCCCTTCAACTCTGAAATCAATAAAAAAAAATTAAATAGTTGAGGGGAAGTAAATTACAGCATAAGGAATGTAGTCAATATTATGTATGGTGCCAGGTAGGTACTGGAAATATGCCAGGAAAAGGGTCATTTTGTAAAGTATATTTTTGTTTATCCACTATGCTGTACACTAAAACTAATACAAAATATTAAATGTAGGCTGTAACTCCAAAAAAGGAAGGGGAATCTGCAGATCTCTTCATAGCTTCTGCTGGGTAACCTTAGGTAGAGGCTAAATTAGCACCTCCTTAGATCCAAGAGCCAGTGTACCCAGTGGTCAGAGTGGGACCATCCAGATTACAACTCCTCAGATCCATAAGGGACACACTCAGGGGGCAGACTCAGTGAGCACCAAAGCCCCACTGAAGTAAGTCTTGCCCCAGAAGGGTGTCTTCAGCACAGAAGTTCTCCCACTGCAGATACAGCTGATTCTCACTGCCAATTGGCCTGGAGGTCAATTCCTCCCAGTGATACCTACAACAATCAAGGCATAATTACAACAAGACTGTGCACAAAGCCCACAAGGGGGTGCACCAAGAGTGTCCACCTCAGGTAACTGGGGAGGCTGAGCCACTGGGCCCTATAGGACACCTTGCACACAAAACCACTCTACCAACACAGGGAAGCATAAAAAAATGTGGAGACAAAGAAACAGGTCACAAATGACAGAAATGGAGGGAAGCAAACTACTGGATATAGAGTTCAAAACCACATTTATAAGGTTTTTCAAGAATTTTATGGAAACCGCCGATAAATTTAGTGAGACCCTGGAGGATATGAAAAAAGACCAACTAGAAATTAAGCATACACTGACTGAAATAAAGAATAATATACAGAAATCCAACAGCAGACAAGAGGATCCCAAGAATCAAGTCAAAGATTTGAAATACAAAGAAACAAAAAATACCCAACCGGAAAAGCAAAAAGAAAAAAGAATCCAAAAATATGAAGATAGTGTAAGGAGCCTCTGGGACAACTTCAAGCGTACCAACATCCAAATTATAGGGGTGCCAGAACAAGAGAGAGGGCAAGATATTGAAAACCTATTTGAAGAAATAATGACAGAAAACTTCCCCTACCTGGTGAAAGAAATAGACTTACAAGTCCAGGAAGCGCAGAGAACCCCAAACAAACGGAATCCAAAGAGGACCACACCAAGACACATCATAATTAAAATGCCAAGAGCAAAAGACAAAGAGAGAATCTTAAAAGCAGCAAGAGAAAGAAAGTCAGTTACCTACAAGGGAGTACCCGTACGACTGTCAGCTGATTTCTCAACAGAAACCATGCAGGCCAGAAGGGAGTGGCAAGAAATATTCAAAGTGATGAATAGCAAGAACCTACAACCAAGATTACTTTATCCAGCAAAGCTATCATTCAGAATTGAAGGTCAGATAAAGAGCTTCACAGACAAGAAAAAGCTAAAGGAGTTCATCACCACCAAACCAGCGTTATATGAAATGCTGAAAGGTATTCTTTAAGAAGAGGAAGAAGAAAAAGGAACTCTTACCATTTGCCACAGCATGGATGGAACTGGAGAGCATTATGCTAAGTGAAATAAGCCAGTCAGAGAAGGATAAATACCACATGATCTCACTCATTTGTGGAATATAATGAACAACATAAACTGATGAACAAGGACTGTTCCAGAGACGGAGAGGCATTGATTGGACTGTTGGGCCTTGGAGGGAAGGTAGGGGAGGTTGGGGGTAAGGGGGAAAGATCAACCAAAGGACTTATATGTAAGCATATAGGCTTAACCAATGGACATGGACAACGGGGGCGTGAGGGCATGGGGGTGGGGGGAAGGGTAGGGGGTAACGTGGGGATAAGGACACATGTAATATCTTAATCAATAAAAGATATATTTTAAAAAAATACAGAGGGGATATGGACAGGGAACCAATGACCTCTGTACTAACACCACCTCTGAGAATTCTGTGAGAATATATCTGGGATGAAGGAACAATGAGAAGAGAAGCTAAGAATAAAAAAGAATGAAAGAAAAAGAGGACATTTCATAAGTTAGCTCTCTACATCCATGTGAGTAAATTAATCTCCCTGGGTTCCTCACTCCACAGGGTTTACCTCTCCCACCATAGTCATCAATGCAGAGTGTTCCTGTCAACTTTTCAGAGGGTAAAATTACTCACTCAACAAAAATATATTATCTTCCATTATGTGCCCGTATCATAAGGTGCCTATGACACAAGGACATATGCAAGAAATGGTGAGGAACACGGAAAACAACAATAGCAATGATAATAATAGGTTATGGCTAAATCACAGGGGTCCTGGTTTGCCACTTTTGAATTTATGTTGTGGACAGAGGGAAACATCAAAGCTATTCAAACAAGGAAATAAACTGGACTGACAAGTCTTTGAGATGAAACTCCTTCCACAGCTGGGGGTAAATGGACAGAAAATGAGAATGAAGAAGATGAAGAGCCCCACTCCCAGACGCACCTGCTGGAGGGGAGCTACAGATGCCCTGCTCTGCCCTCTCTTGGACCTGGGAAGTGTTCCCTGAGCTGTTTGAGGCTCACAGGGCCACCATGAACAAGAAATGAAAAGATTTATAAGAAAGCCAAGGTGATCCTGGGAAGAGATTGATTCCTGCTGTAACTGTACAGCCCTCCATGCCCGAGGTCTCATCATACTTCCAGCCCATCTCTTCTTTCTAGGAAATCAAAGGAGGCTTTGTCCTCAAAACCCATAACTGGCACCGCTCATTAGATGTCCAATGAATACTTTCCTGCATTGGAGCTACTACACCGTGTATTATGTGGGGGAGGTGAAAATTTCCCCCTTCCCTTCTTGGTTCTTGTGGCTGGTTGAGTAATTAACATGATGTAGGACAGATTAACAGAAGAAAACCAAGTTTTGATACTTATTTGTGGGGAATTCACATAAGCAAGAAAATTCCATGGACACTAAGGGAAAAAGAGGTTTATGTGTCATTCGGGACTAGAGAGAGACAGTAGTCTGGAACTTCAACAGAAATTAAGACAGGAACAGGCCTATCTTAAATTCCTTGAGGTGATTTGAGAAAAGGTCGAATGTTCTTCCTGAGTCTTTTGTTTCTTAAAAATAAAATAATGCTCATGCCAGACACATTTTGGGATGGCAAATCTTGCTTCCCTACAGTTGGCAGTTACTCTGAGTTGGCTTAGAGACTGATTAGATCTCATGCTGTCCCTGAGAAGTTTGGGGCTGGAAAAGGTAATATTTTCTACTCTTACTGGGAAGCAAAGGCAGTAGGCATCACGGTCTCCAGAGAAGGGAGGCTCTAGGGAAAGGGAAGAACGAACACAGAAAAGTCTCCTGACACTGCTCTCCTTCAGGAAGCGGTAAGTTAATCCTCATGGAGCAGGGCTCACTCCCTGGAGGCTCTGCTTATAATCCTTCCATCCTCCAACAAACACTGAGAGCTTCACCCTATCTCTACGCCTCTATCTCACTTATGGTGATTGTCGAGGAGACCACCTCTCCTCCCAGGAAGCTCAGACACCATCTTCAGGTTTGGATTCCCCTCTCATCCATGAAAGGAGATGATATAATGCTTAGATAAGAAAATAAACATTAAACATCTAGAAAAGCTCCTCCCCTCTAAGTAAGGCTCCTGTTCACTTTGCCTCAGCCATTTTACATGGCTAACGATTCCCAAGCATCACTGTGTGCCAGGCCCTAGAAAGTACTTCCACATATGTTACCTCATTCAGAGTCCTCAGTACTTTGGTGAAAGTGTTACTGTGCCCATTCTACATTGAAGGAACTGGGAAATAGTTTATATGATTGAAAAGGTCCCACAATTGGCAAATTATGAGTGTTCACTTCGGCAGCACATATATTAAGTTGAAACGATACAGAGAAGGTTGGCATGGCCACTGCGCAAGGATGACATGCAAATTTGTGAAGCGTTTCATATTTTTTAAATAGCAAATTATGGTTTATAATTCAAACCCTAAGTTCCTTGCTCCAAATCCTTGGTTTTCCTACTGCTTTAGCGGCCTACTACTGCTCATAAATAGGAAAATTGTTCTTATTTTCAAGGGCTTTGCAGACATGGGGCAGGTGTGAAAACCACCTGTCCGAATGGAATAAAGCAGGCAGATGTGCTGCTGTGAGAGCAGGCCAATCATACTTCCACACCATTGTGCCTTCTTAGACCAACTTTGGGGGGAAAAAATTAAAGTATCAAAGAAATGCCTTTCTCTCATGTTATATATTATAGCTCAGGACCAGCTAACCTGATTGGATCTACTTCCACCTTTCCAAGATATAATGGGGGTGAGGGTGTAGTTTGTTTTGTTTGGCTTTGTTAAGTAATTCAGCAAAGCATTCTGTATGCATAAACACAGCTGGGACACCACTGCATCCACACTCTCACTCTGCCACAGTGCTTTCGGTAGCTGACTCAGACCTGTCACTGTGGACAACGCCAGCTTACCTTTGTGCCTAGTACACACCACTGCTGCTTCTGTACACGGGAACCCGATAATAAAAGGTGAGTAGCACTACTTGTTAGAAATCTTTTTCACCCACTGTCAATTCTGACACACAGAGATGACACACAGAGAATCATTTTTCACACACTGCTTGTTATGTAAGGCAGCTTTGTCAGATTCTGAAAGTTGAAGAATTGCCTAGAGGGAGTTGGCAGGATCTTTGGGCTTCGTGTATAAGTGACAAGCTATCCAACTGATGTTTTCATCTGAGAGATCAATGTAACTACAAGATCACCTCTAGATTTGTTAAAGTCTTGATATCATGAGTATTGTGATATACTTGCAGTGGGATTAAAGCATTTTATAATGAAAAGTGATCAAAAATCATACAATCCTATTCCCTTTTCAAAGAAAGAAAACAACTCTTACAGAGATTTAAGGACTCCACTAGCACCACTAAGCAAATTTGTTGCAATGCTGAAACAAATTTGTCCATCCTGCTCTCTCTCCTATTTCAACATCCAGAGCTGGGGGACCGTAATTATCTTCAGCAGTCAGAGAGGTAACATCTGGGTGGGGTGGGGCATGTCCTACCACCCAGAACATTTGATCTCCCGTTACTTTCTTTCCATGGAATTCCACTCAAGTCCCGGCCAACACTCTGGTAGCTTCATGTTATTTGGAGCCTTTCTTGTATGTTTTGTATGTTTCATTTCCTAAAATTTCACATCTCAGGTTTTCTGAAGTTCAAATGAAGTAATTGGCCAATATCTATTATCTATCTATATTTTCTGTCTTTATAAACTGTTAGACAATTGTTTCTTTGATAAGTATTTACAAAATTCCTAGTATCTTCCTCAAACTGTGCTGAGCACTGGGGACAACAAGTGAACATGAAGGACAACAAGAACAAAGACCCTAAGTTAGGCTGTTTCTAAAAACTGAAAGAAAGCCAATGTTATATCACTGAAGTGCTGTGAGGAGGAGGGAAGGTGTGAGTGTGTGTGTGTGTGTGTGTAAAAACAGAGAGAGAAAGAGGTAAATCCTGATGACTTTGGGAAATTATTTTTGTAATTTAGTGGAAATCTGGCCCCAAAGTTCTGTTAACTCAGCAAACAGGCTGATTCCAGCTGCTGGCCTCTAGAGGTCTCCTCACTTTCTGATAAGGTCACTTGCTAGACCAAGAAGCTGCCATGGTTCCACCGTTAAATAGATGGCCCTTGCTTTCCTGTCCCTATAAATGTGTAGGGCTGCACTCAGTAAATTATGGCCAGTGGACCAAATCTGGCCAGCTCCCTGTTTTTTTACTGCCAGTGAACTAAAACTTCTGCCATTTTAAATTTAAAAAGCAATATAAGCCGAAACCGGTTTGGCTCTGTGGATAGAGCGTCGGCCTACGGACTGAAAGGTCCCAGGTTCGATTCCGGTCAAGGGCATGTACCTGGGTTGCGGGCACATCCCCAGTGGGAGGTGTGCAGGAGGCAGCTGGTCGATGTTTCTCTCTCATCGATGTTTCTAACTATCTCTCTCCCTTCCTCTCTGTAAAAAATCAATAAAATATATTTTTTAAAAAAAAGCAATATAAGATTAACATTCTGCAACACATGTAAGTTATATGAAATTCAAATTTCAGTGGACATAAAGGTTAATTGGAGCACAGCCATGTGCATTCATTTGTCTATGGCTGCTTTCACACAACAGCAGAGGTCAGTAGCAGAGACTGTAGTCTGCAAGCCTAAAATATTTTAAAAAAGTTTGCTGACCCCTTAAAGAATTACAGAAGTGGGTCCCTCTCCACTGAAATGCTGGCTAGTGTGGGTGTAGTCCAAATATACAACCTCCCAGTGGGATCAGTAGTGCACAGAGGATGGTGTACACCCTGCTACCCCTCTGCTTGTTGAACTCTATATTTTCTGTGTTTACGCTAGTGAAGTATGTTTGTGCCTCCTTTGCACAAAAGTGTGTGGGGTGGGTGGGTGTGGGTGTGTGTGTGTGAGAGAGAGAGAGAGAGAGAGAGAGAGAGAGAGAGAGAGAGAGAGAGAGAGAGAGTTTCATTAATCAAATCATGAGATGAAGTTGGAGAAGTTAATAAGGGTCAAATCAAAGACCCCAATTGGAAAACTAAAGGCTGTAAGCAAGGGAGCAGACCGAACTGATTTTCTTTTTCAAAGAGTGACTGGCTGTGGCATGGATGACAGGTAGTAGAGAGGCAGGAGTGGAAACAGGAATCCAGTTAGAACAATATCACAGTGGTCCGGGGGCGGGGAGGGAGGTAATGGTTTGAAGTTGAGATCAGTGTGTGGACATGAGCCATAATGGAGACAAACTAACAGACATTGCTGCTAAAGTAGACATGAGGGTAAAGGAAAGGCAGAAAATAGTACATTGAAATAAATTCAACCAGAAAAAAAGGAGTTCTTAAATATTTAATCCAAGGAATCAATTATTAGGTTGCTGAGTAGATACTTACTCCTAAAATGAAATTTCAGGAACATCAGCTAAACAACCTTAGTCAAAAATACCTAGTCATTATTAGTAACAACTGTTTTTAATTGATCATAATAAAATTACCTTCCTCTGAATTGGTACTAGACTTAACCTTTTTTAGAATCCATTGAGGACATTTACACATTGCAGAACTCATCTTTTGTGTCTGTTTTTATTCATTAGCAATCAGTGTGCTCATGTGACTCCAGCCTGACTTTAAAAACACAGTACAAAAGCCAGGGTGTGTTGCTAAAATGGCTAAATACTTAATATCCTTGAACTGATACAGAATGACTTTTTAAAAAAATGTTAGACTCCTGATGTTTGCTTTCAACTCCCCTTCATAAAAGATAAATGTGTACTTTCAGATATTTATTGGGCTCCTGCACAGATGACTTTTAGAGCAAATAAGGAAAAGACTAATAGAAAATAGATCATGGTGCAGATATAAGACCCTATCTCCCCATCTCCCCCAGAAAAGCAGAGTCTATTAAACCCTATTCCAGTTATGTACATCAAAATAGAGTCTGTAGATCTGTGGAGATTTTATTGTCCCAAGCATCCATCACACAATAGAAATCAGGAAATCTTGAATTTAAAATGACCCAGAATAGGTTTTAAAATATTATAAACTAGAGGTTCAGTGCATGAAATTCGTGCACTGGTAGGATCCCTAGCAGCTGCCAGCTGCCGGCCAGGGCCTCCCTCCCTTCCCCCCGCCAGCCCTGCCCCCTGGTCGAACTCCCAGACAACTCCCCGGTCGAGGGGACAATTTGCATGCTATGCTTTTATTATATAAGATTGTGTTATAAATACTCACCCAGGCTCCTCACCCCCCAACAAAATTGTAATCCTCCTCCCCCATGACACTCTAAACACCCACACCTATATTTGAGAAGGGGTGTCATCTTGCTGCTACCACCTTTTACTCTTGGTCCTAGAGGTTTCTCGGGCCTTGACTATTCCTAGTAAAAAATTATTAGACTCCCTGAGCCCCTTGCCAAATTTCAAAAACCAAAACATGGACTTAGCATTGAAGAAAGGGTAGGGGACACAGACTCCCTCTATGTTGCTCACGTATACATTTATTTACAGAGGATTCTAATTGATTCCAAGGCCTGAGTGCATGATCATTTCACAAAGGTATTCTGGCTCATTTAGGACCAACGAAAGTCATTATGCAGATATTCAATCTCTAGAAGCCACTCTGCCTTGAGATGCTCCCAAGTAGTTACTGGGGAGTGGAGCAAAGTTTTCATTTCCCATCCCCTACAAATCCACTGCTATTTAGAATTCCATGTCACCAATAATATCCACAGTTGGTGTTATTGGAATAGAATTATATCTATAACTATACACTGGGAAAATTCATATCTCTTTTCCAAGTAAGCACACACCTATTTCAGCATTAATAATTATTTTACCTTGGTCTTTCTGTTTTAACACAGCAGAAACTAAGGCTAATTTTCTCTAGTTGATCTCACTGTTTTACACATGAAATAGGTATGCAATATTATTTAATTAATAAGTTAATTTAATTTTAAATAAGGCCAGTTTTGAAAGTCACATAAAAGAACTAATTCAAAAAGTTCTATGAGTTCATGTTACATGGCTACAAATTTGACTCAGTTTCTGCCAACTGTCATTGGTGTCACCTCTTCTGTAGATGAAAGAAATTCCGTTTTTGTAAGAATACAGAGATAGTAGATAGAGACTCTATTAAGTGTAACATTCGATGTAATCTTTAAATATCTCTATGTCACTCTCCTTCAAGAGCTTATCAATTCTGATCAAAGTTTTCTTGAGTCCACAGTGAAAATGTGAGTGAGAAGAAAGAAGCAACCCAGGTCAATATTCAGTTAAAGGAAAAAAGTGGCTATTGATATATGTCTTTATTTTCTTCTCCAAGATAGTTTAAATATAAATCTGGGTCCCCATCTATCTATACCTAGTCATTTAATATTTAGTGGTCATTTCACACAAACCCATGAAAATCT